GTGCACAAAGCACTCCATTGTGAGGACAATTCTTTGCACTCCTTCTCTGGCTCTAACATGCTCTGCTCCTATAGCTCCCTGCTGAGAGCCAAGAAGACTTTCCCTAATACCATTGGTCAAAGGTGTTCATGCAGGGAGCATGTGAAAATAAAAACTTTACAGGGAGTTTTCACAGCAGTTCAGGGATCATTCTGAGTTGTAGTAGAGAGGAAAATCTGAAAATCTCATATGGTCATGTATTGATAGCATTTGGTCCCTCCTCTTAGCACTGTGCCCTACCCCTTATAATTCTCCATATCCTGTAGATGAGCAGAATGGAGGATTACCATGCTCTACTCTTGGCTACTGCTCAATTTACCACTGTGGAGAACCAGATACCCCCCCCCCCCATAGTTGTTTCAGTGTTTGTGATGATGTTCAACATCTTCCTGTCTTGTTGTGTGCGTTCCTGCCTCACATTGAACAAGCATCTAACAAATATGAGGTAGTTGGAATGGGAAGGAATGCTGTCAGATGCTAGTGTTGTAAAAGGAATGCATCCAAGAGCCACCCTTGATCTTGGGTTTTGCCAGTTGTTTGAAAGGTCTCATGAGTTTGGCGTTGTATGAGGGCATGAGTAATATCTAAATGTAGTTTCTCAGGCCATCTTCTACTTGTAGCTTACAATGCAGCTCCTCCTCTCTCTCTTCTTCCTACTCATTAAACCTGGCTGCCTTGGAGTTCTGTGTGGTTCTTTAGAGAGGAGATCTTCAGAGATGAATTTAAGCTTTCTCCTCGGCATTTTTTTTTTGTCCTGTAATTTGCAACTTCTTTTTATACTCAAAGGAGTTTGCATATAAGTTGGAATAAAGTCAGAGGAGTGATTTTTATACTATTGATTTGAGCAGGAGTCTGGTCCCACATTCCACAATCACAAAAAAGCGAGATACATTTATCACTTGGGAACTAATTCCCTTGGACTGAAATCGAGTGATTGTCTTTCCTGGAAGCATTAGTTTCTTCATTTTGGCATGAAAAAGAAAAAAAAAAGTTACTTGTTACACTAACTAAAGTCATATGTTACTTATCTGTTCAGATGCTATGTTACTAGATCTTGTGGCACTCAGAGAATACATGCAACTTCCCCCAAAAGTTTATTTAGTGCTTTTGGCAAAGAGAGCTAGAAAGAGAGGGAATTAGTATTATTAAAGGTTCAACGAGATGAGTTTTTGGAACTTTCTTTTTCAACATTAGGTTTGCAATGGAGATTGGGATGTAGTAAGAGAGAAAAGTGACACGAATGTGGTGATTATCACTGTATCTTGAAGCAGATCTATAGCCAGAGTCAGTGGAATATTTGGCTGTATAAATCCTTCCATATACACATCCATTCCTATATGAAGAATTGGCATCTGGCTTGGGGCACAAGCAGACCACATCAATGTGGATATTTGTGCTAAAAAGTCTTTAGTCACCTCACTGAAGGAAGAGGAAATGTTGGCTGGAGCTAGAGAGAAGAGCTTGGGAGTCTGTTCCTTCTGAAGATATACAATGAAATGGTTCTGTTTACTGACCTCTTAGGAAGTGAATTGGCCACACATGTTGTCTGGGATTGTCAACATAGCCCCTAAGTGCCTGGCTGGTGCTTGTCCTGGATAAACCATCTTTCTTAGTAGCCGGGAGGGTAGGGACATGCTATTCTGTGAAGAAAGCCACCAGTGGAGAGTCTTAAGTCCTCCTCCTTTTCTACCTGCTAGATGTGGAGAGATGTATACACAAGATTCCCTATTTTATTCTTTTTTTTTCTGTCATGGGGCCTGAACTCTGGGCTTGGGCGCTGTCTCTCAGCTCTTCAGCTAAAGGCTAGCACTCTACCATCTGAGCCATAGTACCACTTCCGGCTTTTTCTGCTTATGTGATGCTGAGGAATCGAACCCAGGGCCTCATGCATGTAAGGCAAGCACTCTACCACTGAGCTACCTTCCCAGCCCCTCCCTATTTTATTCTGTCCTCTGAAGCCTGCTCCATAACTGGCCTTCAGTTATGTATGATCTAGATATGAATATGTAGCTTACTGGCAACGATAAGTTTCTTTGTCAGTGAGAATAGACAAGGGAAACTTTTTTTGTGTGTGGAAAAATGGAAAACATGCTTTGTTGTTTATCTAGAATAGAGAATAGGCATCCGAGTTTTTAATCTAACACAAGGTATTTATTTAAAATGAGTGTAATCGCTGCTGTATTTAGGTTGATGGCCCTCACTTGAGCATGCATGAGAACCCATGGAGGGTTTGTTCCCTCTGAGACTGCTGGGCACCATCCCCTGAGTTTCTGATTGAGAAAGCCTGGGGCGGGGCCTGGGAATTTGCTGTGCTAACAGTCAAGGGCCACACTTGTCTAGGCTTAGGTTCTAGAGAAGGCAGAAGCATCAGAATACCTGTAGCACTGGACTCTAGACTTTATATCACTGCCCGTAAAGGAGATGGAAGGATTTAAGGTCTAGCACCCCTAGAAGATGAGCATGATACCACCTTCACCATCACACCTGGTACCGAGATCCACCGAGGTCAGTGCATAGCATTTGCTACAAGAGTGAAGAGGAAACCAGAGCAAGCATTGCTTTTTCATGTCTTTCTGTACTAAAGTAAGTGCGTTTAACTGGTGGTCTTTCTTTTTTTTTCCCAGTCCTGGGGCTTCAACTCAAGGCCTGGGCTCTGTCTTTGAGCCTCTCTGTGCTTAAGGCTAGCACTCTACCACTTGAGCCACAGTGCCACTTCTGCCTTTTTCTGTTTATGTGGTACTGAGTAATGGAACCCAGGGCTTCATGCATGCAAGGCAAGCACTCTACCACTAAGCCACATTCCAGTCCCCCTGGTGGTCCTTCTTAATATTTGTTAGTTTGGACATCTGGTAAACTGGGTCATGAGACATGAAAGCAATGCTTCTTTTGCTACCAGAAAGTGGAAGTTGTTATGCAACCTGCAAGGGTTTCTCCAAAGGAACACATCTGGCTTAAAGATTCAACCATTGCATGTCTTTTTATTTTTCAAGAAAGTAAACCAAGACTGGATTGGAAGTAGTTCTTGAGCTTGCATTTCCTGGTTCCCTCCTTCTATCGCTGACAATCTAGTTGTTTTTGTTTTTCCTCCATAATTTCTTAATAGTAGGGATGCTTTATTCTGGACCCTAAAAAGAAAAGAAGAGAGATTGGTAGGGATGCTGTTAAAGTATGAACAGAAATGTCAGTGAAATGATGCTTTGAGAGTTTCTCATTTTACTGATAATACCTGATCTTTCAAGATAATCCTAAGAACATTTATTCATCAAATTTGACCTTATGGCAGAAGAACATTTAACTTTTTCTTTTCCGTGATATTTTCTTGGAATCATAAAATGTTATTAGTTTGAGTACTTAACACTTGAGGGGTGGCATATTATTTGGGGTTTCATTTTTTTTATCCAATATAGAAAGTCTTGCAGCACCAAATAAAAATGTCACTATGCAAAATGTAAAGGCTTTCTGTCACAAATGTTTTTAAAAATTCATGAAGGGCTGAAAATTTGATTTATCCTCTTTCTGTGATTTATTCATATTTAATGCTAGTTTCAACATTTGAAGCATGAAGAACCTTTGCAAATTAAAAACTGGTGAATTACTTATTTGAAGAAAAATTCTACCATGCCAGTTTTTGAATTATGTAGCCCATTCCTCTTCATATGTTCAAGGGCACAGAGATGTTTGGTTTCCCCATTGGTCGGAATTCTCACTGGTGAAGCTCTTATTGGAGGGAAGTTAATTCACTCGGCTATGTGGTTGCGATAGCTATTTCTCTAGTATCAGTGAATACTTCTCAGGCATTAATCATGATCACACAAGTACAATGGCAGAGGAAAAGAGTGGGAACAGCCCTTGAATCTGGACCCATTGGCTTGGTTTGTTTGGATTTTTGTTTTTGAATTTAAGTTCCTGGGTAACTTATACTTTCAGGAGCTTCTTTAGGTAGAGATAATACTATCTTTTCTAGGATGATTTCATAAACAATGAATGAAAATACAGTTATCTCCAGATGAGGGAAGGAAATGAACTCAAATCAAACTATGTATGTTTGTATGTATGTATGTATTTATGTATGTATGTATGTATTTTACTGGTCCTGGAGCTTGAACTCATGGACTAGGCAATGTCCTTGAGTTTTTGTGCTCAATGTACCACTTGATCCACAGTTCTACTTCTGGTTTTTTTGGTGTTTATTGGCCATAGGTCTTACAGACTTTCCTGCCCAGGCTGGCTTTGAACAGTGATCCTCAGATCTCAGCCTCCTGAGTAGCTAGGATTACCAGTGTGAGCCACTGGCTCTCAACTTTCATAGTCTTTATTTTAACTAGTGAGTAGATGCATTGGTTTTAAAGCATTGAATCTTTTCAAGGTCCTGGAGAGACATTTTGGGGACAGTGAGACTGTCTTATCCTAGAAAACAAGAGTCAAGAGTATGTTTGCTCAGACTCTGTAAAGTAGCTGGAAACTTAGATGATGATGAGGAGTTACAATAAGACTCAGTTTCTCTGAGCACCCTGGCCTCTCCCTGCCCATCCATCTCCCTGTCCTTCCTATCCCTGCATCCCTATATTTACTCTAGTTTTCTTCCTTCTTACCTTCGTTCTCCTGCTTTGCATTTACTTTGAAGCACCTCCACTAAGTCAACTGTTTGACCTCTGTAGATTTAGTCAGCTTCTCAGAAAATGAACCAAACTGTAAATGTTTTCTTTGCTAACAATAATAAACCTTTTGAAACCTCCAAGGAAGCAAGAACATAAAAGATACTGAGTACCTTCAAGGATAAAGCCTGTTTTATCTAGTTTTCTCTTTGTTTATCGTTGAGGATCAGGTCTATTAAAGTGTGGCCACCAATACAAAGAGTAGTACAAATTTGAGAACCAGTTTTGTCTTTATGATCTTGATTTTATTCCTCTGCTTGGTGATGAGAACCATCTTAATGTGTAAAATTATCTTTTCTTTCACAGACTATTGGGAAGAAGTTACCTCCACCTGTGGCAACTCTAGACCCATCAAAAACGGAGATGGATAGCAAGACTAAGAGTGAGTTTCCTTATTTTGAAAAGAAAATCCTTATATAATATGTATATGTATATATATTACACACACACACACACACACACACACACACATAATTTTGGGCTGATATTGGGACTAGATCTCAGAGCCTTGTGCTTGCTAGGTAGTCATTCTACCACTTCAGCACACTCCCCCACCCCCAGCCCTGTCTGTTTTCATTATTTTTTCCAGTACAGTCTCTAATTTTATAGGATGGTATATACTACAATCATTCTATTTTGTATATTCCAAGTATTTTGCACTGTTTTTTTTATTTTTTTTATTTTGCACTGTTTAAGTGGAAGAAAGACTCTAAAGAATAACAGCTCAAGTACTTTAAAGATTCATAGGACTTGAGATCATTTACTTTTAGCCTAAACCACTCAGCCAACACTACCCACCCTGATTCCTGCAGGCCTTCTCAATACATCTCTCCTTAAATACCTCCAGATACTTTTGTAACATAGCAGGGAGGAGACAAGAGGCTTTTAGAAGGATAAGATACTACATAGTAGGGGGTTAGTTGTGTCTTAGAATATTACTAGCTATAGGAATATCATGTGAGCCAATTGAAGTAATAGGTAATTTCAAATTTTCTACTTGGCACATTAAAAAAGAAAAAAACAGCCAGGCACTGGTGGCTTATGCCAGTAATCCTAGCTACTTAGAAGGCTGAGATCTGAGGATCTAGGTTAGAAGCCAGCCTGGGCAGAAAAGGCTCGGTGAGACTCTTATTTCCAATTAACTACTCAAAAACTGGAACTGATGTTATGGCTCAAAGTGGTAGGGCACTAGCCTTGAGCAGAACAGCTCAGGGACAGTGGCCAGACCACAAGTTCAAGCTCCACAAAACAAAGAAAAGAAAAAGAAAAACAAGATCCAGGCACCAATGGCTCACAGCTTTAATCCTAGCTACTCAGGAGGTTGAGATGAGGCTCACAAAATTCGAAGCAAACTGGGCAGGAAGGTCCTTGAGTCTCTTATCTCGAAAAAGAAAAGTAGGAAGTAGAGCTGTGGCTCAAGTGGTAGAGTGCTAGCTTTGAGCCAATAAGCTCAGGGAAGAGATCCCAGGCCCTGACTTCAAGACCCAGGACAGGTACAAAAAAAAAAAGAAAGAAAAAGAACTGAATTTAGTTACATTCTATTTAACTCAATTTGTCAGTATTACCTTTTAACACGCAACCCATATAAAATGGTCAAATGACATAGATACTTTCTTCTTTTTTTTCCATGTGATGTCATCACAATCCAATGTATAATTTATTTAAGTAGTTGTCCAAAGGGGGTTCAATCGAACATGTCAGTTTGTAAGTTCAATGCATCTTGATCAATGTTACCCTTTCCATCTTTTTTCCAATGCGTATTTACAGGTATGGTATATTTCTATTTAGAGTAGCCACGTTGTGAGTGCTTAGTAACTATGATATTGGAAAATGTAGTTTAAGGGTAATTCTTAGGCCTAAGATAGGCTTCCCGTGCCTGTAAATGAGTGTAAATGAGTTACAAGTGCTCAAATCCTGGCTAGGATTTGTAGGACTAGCCTGGCCGCTAGTCCTACAAATATCTATTAACCATATCCATTTACCTGGCTAAAAGCATCCTGATGGGAAAATAGGTTACTAATGAAGAATAGGTTTGCAGAAATTGGGTAAAGTGTTTTAGAGTGTTAGAAGGAAGAGTGCTGTCACTAGCCATGTGACTTTGGACACATAATTTGATTTCTCTAGCCGTCCTCCTCATTGTCTACATTATAACTTCAGAGAGTTGTACTAGAGAAAGACCCTGCCATTTCTTCCAACAACTTCATTTTCTGATTCAATTCTATAAGCTTTAGAACTCAGAGAGAAAGGTTTTTTTTTTTTGTTTTTTTTTTTTTTTTTGCAATCCAAGTATTGAGTAGCCAGATGGAAGACAAAGGGAAGTTGTGAACAATTCAGTGAGAATATGAGAAGATGTTGAGATTAGTGTGTCCATAAGTGAGTAGCAGTCAGGAAGGAGAATTATAATGTCAGTGAAGTCTTGAGGGATGTTTACTGACAGACATAGAATTCCTTTACACTTAAACCATTTTCCTGCTTCTGGATTTTGATGCACATCTATGTTCAGGTACAGAATGCTAACCATCTCCTTCCTTCTTCCTTTCTGATCTAAAAACACCCTGGACAAAACTTGCCCAGCAGTACAGCAAGAGAGCAGCAGCTCTTTCCTGCACAGCTGTCTCCTTAGCATGCTCTACTACAAACTCACAACAGAATTCAGAGTTATGATGTTGCAAAAAAAATGTCCATAGGGGTTGATATTGTCTGAGTGAAAGTGAAATTCAGCTGATCAGGATTTAAACAATGTCATCTCTACCCCTCACCCCCAACAAAAGGCTTTTATGATACTGAAATTCATCAGAAACTCATTCTGAGGAACAGATTGCCATAATTTTCATAACAAGAGGAAAACTGTCTAAATATTCATAACGAAGTACCCTGAGGTTCCTCCAGCACCTCACATCTGGAGTTTCTCCTCTTTCTTATTACAATTGATGCAGATTTGTGGCCTCTGTAGATAGAAAAATAGCCCAAAGAAAGGGCTAGTTAACATGCTTCAGAACTATTAGCTCAGTCTTACAGATTCAGAAGAACAAATGAACAAGTGGGTTTGGAAAAAAAATTGTTTGACAGAATTTGTACAAGCTAAATCAGACTTCTGAATAAATTATGACTAGAGGAGACAAAAGCTAAGTTTTCCTTATCCAACCTTGTTGATTGACTTGGTAACCGGACCTTCTTACTACCTGATTGCTTCGCTCATTGGTTTGCTTCCTGGGAGCAGTTTCTCCCTGCTTGGGTGCCTGTTTACTCTGTAGTCAGCCTTATGAGTCTGCCTCATGAATGGCTGTGCCCAGTGTTAAATCTCTCAGTCCCAGCTCAGTGTTACCTTCTCTCCACATCGATAAGCAGGAGAGAAAAGGGTCAGCTCCCTTGTGCTGCTTTTTCCTCAGTTTCATAACATATACCCAGGAGCCCTTCAGCCCTCTTTTTCCAGGCCGGTTATTTTTGCTCAACCCCTCCCCCCACCTCCAGTGCTTACTCATGCTGGGGATTAGGGTCATACCACCAATTAAGTATGAAGTATATTTTCAACTCACCCTTCAGTGCCACTCACATCTGAAGTATACTAAAGCCTTCACACTAGATGTCCCAGAAGTCTCCCCTCTTTCTAGAATGCACCACCTTTTATCAAGTGCCTCACACAAAACTGCTATGTAGATTCAGAGTGAGAGCCTTCCTACAAGAGTACCTGGCTAGCCATGGTGCTTGAAGATCTGATTTTCAAATGTCACCCTCTTACAGAAGAAAGACTTTTCCTAGTGGATTGCTTCTCTCCCAAAGAATCTGAGCTCCTTACCTGTGCAAAGGAATCTCTATTGAGAGAAGCCAGGATCTGGCCTCTGCTTTGTAGTAGAGAACAGAAAGGCTTTGCTTCTCAGATTTTCATTTTCTCTTTAAAACTATTTCTTTTTAAAATTGAGAGTAAAGGGTATTATAATTAATACTTGTAAAATAATTGGTCAGTCCCAATTCCCGGGAGCATTGAAAACCAAAGGCTACTGTATGCCAATAGCATCCCAGTTGTGACAACCAAAAAAGTTTTGAGGTATTCCCTTGGGGAACCTCATCTGTCTTAGTCCATTTTGTGTGCTGTAATGGAATGCCACAGTCTAGGCACTTTATAAATGATAGAAATCTGTTTGGCTTATGGTTCTGGAGGTTGAGAAATCTGAGATTGAGTGGCTACATCTGGGGTGGGATGGAGTAAAGGGATTCCTGTTGTTATTACGTGGCAAAATGCATCACAAGGGACAGAGAGAACAAGATACTGAACTCACAGCCTCAAGATCTTTTGTAACTAGCATTAGTGCATTCATGAGGCTGGGGTTCTTATTAACTAAATCCCTCCAGTAGGCCCCATCTCCCAACTCTATACTGGGGATTCATCTCCATCATATTATATTAACCTTGTGAGGGACACATTCAAACCATAGTAGAACCCTACTAGTAAGTTCCACCAGGACACTGCTGTATCCCTATTGCTTGATGCACAGTAGATACTCAGTTATTATTTACTGAATAAATGACAAGCCCCTCCTACTAACACCAGGTACTGAGAATGTGTCCTAGAACTGGAGTGCTTGTCTAAATCTAGCATGCAGCACATCCAACCCCAGTGTCACCATCAAACTGGTCTGCATTCCCTATCCTTAGCCCTAACCTTACCTGTTGCTAGACACTGGCTCTCAGTGTGTTCCCAGAACCAGCAGCAGCAGCAGCAGCTCTTAGGAACCTTGCTAGAAGTGTAGATCCTCAGACCCCACCCATTTGAGTTCTACCCAATCAGCAGCCGTGGGGGAGGAGCCCAGCAATCTTTGCTAGGCCTTCATCCGAAGCTGATGCCTACTCTAGTGTGAGAGCCACAGACTGACATGACACCAAGGTCCCACTTTACATTTGAAGATTTATATTGTAGGGGAGGGATGTAGAAAGCTATAGTCAACAGGTGCCTCACACTTTAAAGAACACTGGAGTTTGACTTCAGGGCCTAATAATAGTAGGCAAATGTTCTACCTCTTGTGCCATAGCCACAGCTCTTTTTGGCCTTAGTTATTCTTCAAATTAGATCTCAGACCTTACTGATCCTGCTTTAACTCTGTAGCTTAACTTTTTGCCAGGGTTAGCCTCAAACGAAGTCTGCCTCTGGAATAGCTAAGATTACTAGAATGCACCACCATACCTGGTGAAACTTTTTTTTTGTGGTACTGGGCTTTGAACTTGGCCTCACACTTCTCAGGCAAGAACTCTACCATGTGAGCTGAACCTCCAGCCCTTCCCCAACACAATGCTTAACATTAGGAATGATTGAGAAGCATCCTCTAGTCCTTCTCTGTCTGTTTCCTAGGACATTGTACAAAGCCCATTGGCATTCTACTCCTCTAA